GGGAGAAGAGGCGGTGTGGGAGGCCACCGAGGTGGGCACAACCCACCTGGGCACGCCTGGCCCCCCGGGCGTGCCCTGGTGGGTTGTGCTCCCCTCAGAGCTCCCCTCTGCTACTTATTTGGTCCACCGGGTGTCTTCCGGTCCAGAAAAAATCTCCAGAAAGTTTCGCTGCGTTTGGACCCCATTTGGTATTGATTTTTTGCGATGTACAAAACAAGCAAAAAACAACAACTGGCATTGGGCTCTATATCAATTGGTTAGTCCCAAAAAATGATATGAAGTTACTATAAAATGATTCTAAAACATCCAAGAATGATAATATAGCAGCATGGAACAAGCAAAAATTATAGATGCGTTGGAGACGTATCACTGACCTCCTCTTCAGAGAGAGGGAGGTAGTTGCTGTCCTCGGAGTCATTGAGGTCCTCGGAGTTATATTGGCCCTCGTGCCCCTCCTTGCCATCAAGCTATTACTCAGGGGCGACAAGGTCGTCGGGGTCTTCCATATTTTTCGGGGTACCATTTTCCCCTGTGCCCATGTTGCTTTCCGTGCCCCTACGCCCCTTGGATCGTCGGCGTTTGGGCGGCTCCTCGCCGGGCTTATTGCCATCTTGTCCGGGGGTGTCGTCGTCGTTCTTCCCATTGGTTCCATTGCCCTTATCCTTGGGGGTGTCCACAATAAAGACATCATAGGTGGAGGTGGCCGTCCACCGTCCAGTGATGGGGTAGTAGTGTGGGCCATGGCTTCGACGTCTTCGTCCATGTCGTCGGCCTCCTCAGAAGCGTAGCCCAGCATGTTGGTTAAATCTTCGATAGTGGCTATTAAGTGGGTGGTGGGTGGGGCGTGAAATTCCCCATGGCCCGCCTCCAGACCAAGCCGAGCGTAGGACGAGGATGGGCCATCCATGATGATCATCATCTGGATCTGATCTAGCATGTCGTTTAACAGGGCGAGACTAGCCGGATTGGTATATGGGGTTTCTTCGGAGTCGACCTCCGGTACGATGGTGCGAGGGGCGAGTCCGACCAAGGTTGATTCCTGGTGTTCGGACTCCGAAGTCGCATCCAGGCTTCAAGATGGATCCGAGGCAAGAGAGGTGAGTCCGGCCGGGGTTGACTCCCGATTTTAGGACACAGAGGACGCATCTAGGTTTGAAGCCAGATCTGAGATAGGAGAGGCGAGTCCGGCCGGGGTTGACTCCCGATCTTCGAACGCAAAGGCCACATCTAGGTTTGAATCCAGATCCGAGGTAAGAGCCGACCCAAAGATTAGGTCGGGAGGAGATTCCGAAGTTGAAGCTTCAGGGTTCTTGGGCGCCTCCAGCAAGGCTGAGATGCATGTGAGGATTAGATCGCCCCGAGTGTCAGCGACGTACTCTAGGTTACCAAACCTGATCTGATGCTAAGGGGCGAAGCTGTCGACCTGGTCGAGATGACCGACCGAGTTAGCGTGTAGCACGATGCTGCCGAACGTGAAAAGCTGACTGGAAACAAAGATGTCCCCGGTGTTGATGCCATCTCCGATGATCAGGCGAGCCATCGATCCTCCGGCGATCTCACATCGGAACTCTCAATGAAAGCACCCATGTTGGTGTCAAAACTGGCAGATCTCGGGTAGGAGGTCCCGATCTGTGGATCTTGGATCAATGGGGAACAAGGGACGAAGGACATGATGTTATACCCAGGTTTGGGCCCTCTCGAAGAGTTAAAACCCTATGTCCTGCTTGATTATATTGAAGTGTATAGGATGATTACAGAGTCGATCTATCACGAGATCAGATAAATTAAACCCCTAGGAGAGTAGGATGATGGTTGTTCCTCTAGACTCTACGGCCTAAAAACCTTCTGGTTTATATAGACACCAGAGGGACTAGGGTTACATATGGTCGGTTATGATGAAGGGATAAACATGTTGATTCTCTTATCTTGACTTGGAGGACACACCAAGGCATCAAAGGTTTCTTGTCTGGATACAGAGTCGCCTCATAGCTCAGCCTTCTAGCAGTTGTAGTGCAGCTCACTTGTCCGGCCCATAAGAGATAGGCTGGCAGCCTGAGGACCCCCTAGTCTGGGACTCCCTCAACTACAACGCACCTAACAACTCCACTCTGCTCTCAGAACCATATGATATACGAATGAAAAAAACACAGTCATATCATTCTTAAAACCCAAAACCAACATAATAAAATCAAAATGAAACAACCGATCACAATAACCTGCCAGAGAAAAAAATTAATGCCGCGAGTGACGAATGGTGCGACAAAGCATGCATTAGCCTCTAGTTTTGGGATGATCAACCATCGTCTGCACATTAGCACGGGTTTACGCGTATTGCATTCTGGCCCAAAGGCGGAGAGTCCAACTGATCAAGCCCAGCCAAGCTTCATGCAACGAGACAACTTATCTTTCAAGTTTTCCTTTTTCTTAATCAGACTTCTTCCATAGCAACGCCTTTCTTCCGCAGTGAGACAACACCCTCATGCCACTGTCATCGTGTCCTGCTAAAGACGGCCCAAAAAAGGATCTTCATCCTGAATGCCAACACCAACTAATCAAGATTGGAATGTCGACATGGAGACAACACCTTTAACAAGGTAACCACTCAAAGTTCAACGTTGCATCTAACCAATGAAAGCTAAAACAAAAGTTTTCATCGTGGACAATAAAGTGGTGTTCTAAGCACTATCCTGCAAACGGATCTTCTGAAAGTTGCACTACCAAATACTCATGGTAGAACCATTGTGGTGTCCATCGGGTGAGTTATCATGCCTCTCCAGACACTCCTTGCAACTATGCACCAAAGAGAAGCACATGCCCCGCAGAGCCACCTTGTCGACCACCTGCCGAGGAGGAGTTTCTCGCCGCCAATGGCGGTGACAAGAGGAGGTAGTGGCGTTAGCGTATGGGTGGGACGTCTTCACACATATCATCGCCATGACTGTCAAGGAGTTGTAAAACTCGTGTGGCACATATAGCCACTGTTGAAGCTCAAGTAGCCCATGCCCGCCCATCTAGCTACTTACACACTGAACCGCGTCGAACATGCAACGCGCCGTAGCCAACACACAAATGTCGAGTACCGATCAAGCGTAGACCCCATTACCAAGTTGGGTCGGTACAGTTGCATGGCAGTGCACGAGACCACAACCGCCATCTGCAACAGAGGTCATCCTTAGCCACGGGAGTCCTCCTCCAGCGGCCAGATCGAGGTGAGAATGCCCAAATCAACCACCACAGATGACCAGCATTCTGCCCTTGCAACCACAACGATGGGTCCATAAATGAAACTACTGCATCAGAACCTTTTGATCTATGCTTCTCTTCATCTGCAACGGTTCCTACGGGGCCTTAGTACGACGACTTATAACGACGTTTGCCCATCTTCGGCAAGGGAGGCCCGATGACAGCGGCGCGCCTTCTGCTCACGACAGTGCTTGTAGTTGTTGCTAGGTGGTCTACGGATGTAATTTTTACTTTTGATATTTTTTGTACCCCATGAGAGTTGATGAATAGATCGAAACTTTTTCAAAAAAAAGGCAATGTGCCAATTAAGGGCATGTACAATGGAGGCATTAGCAAGGTGTTGCCTCCGTACATCCACATAGGCTAGGATAGCTAGGGCTATTGCTCATACTAATCATCACCCAACCCCACATGCTGCCTCAAAGGTTTCTGCATGCGTCAGACTTTGCTATGTTCTTCCCAGCTCGCTTCACTCTTTCCACTTTTCCTTTCTCTCTCCTTACTTTTTCTACACAGTTTTCATCGAAGCACCAGCCTTCTTTGCAGGCAGCACCTGTCACCTTGAGACTATCAGTTTGTTGCGAAGATGGCATCCGAACCTAGCTGGCATACGGGGCAGCACCTTTGAGGCTAACCGTTGGCCATTGCCCTAATGAATGCATGACAGATGCATGCACGTGTCAGAAATCAGCCTGACGCACAAGCTGCGTATTTTTATTTATTTTTAATTTTTTGCAAGAAAAACGTGAGTTTCTTTTTTCGAATGACAGAGTTACATTCTGCCGACATTAGCTGATCGAGATTACTCCTGACATGACATTTCCAAGCACCAAACCATATGCCACTCATTCGGTGAAGACAGGAAAACTCTTTTGCGTTCTAGCAGCAAGCAAAGTTCAACGGATAGTCAATTTGTGGATGGACCTACGCCTAGAGTAGCTCGTCATGTAGTACTAGTAGTCTGTTAGGTTTGATCGTACTTGCTCGCACACATCACAATAATAACAGATGTCACGATCGCTGCAGTGGAAAAAGGAATCTTTGCACGCATGAAGAGAACACAAGCAGTTGACTTGTGCATTTTTCTGTGGTAATTTGGAGCTGCATTGTTAAATTCCACAGGGGAAATGATAGTACGTAGAAATGGCATCATGGTGACGGCAACTTTTTTAAAAAAGAATAAAGAATTAAGTAGCTGTAGCTCATCTAAAGCTTTAATGCAAATATGCGTTTATTTTTCTAAATGATTTTTTAATGAATCGAATCCTGTTTAAGAGCCTCATCATCCATGTGTTAGATCCAGTCAAAGAGCTCTGCCCAGTCGGTTATGTCGGCGAGCTCCTCGTCGGCGCCTCCCTGCTTCTGCTGCTGCTGCACGGAGCGGTAGGCGTCGCTGGACGACGGGACGTCGTTCGCTGCATGCCTTTTCCTCTTCTGGCCCTTTCCCACTTCAACGTCCTCACTGGCCGACGCAAGCGCGGCAGACGGCGACGCCGGGTCCTCGGAGCGGCGTCCTCCGGCGGCGGCAGTGCACGGCCGGCGGTCGAACTGCCGCAAGCTGCCTGACCTTGTGTACAGACGGCACAAACTGAACTCGCTCCTCACCTACAAACAAGCACAAAAAATGCATAAATAAACATCTAAAGATGCTATAATTAACTACTACTGACTGATTTGCATATTTCTTCACGTCTCAAATGACCAGTTGACTACGGGTATGTATAGCCAATTAGCCATAGGCAGCTTTCGCAATCAGCATTTGATCATGGCTCTTTGCTGCGTGAAAGAACACCCGGCATATGGCGAATTGGCGAAAAGAATGGCAACTTGTGATTCTAATATACTACTAGTAGTACCGAGTATCATCTACCTAAAACGCGTTTATATTGTTAATTACCTCGAGCCGCGCGGCGGCACCGGCATCGGCATCGGCACCGTCGTCGTCGAAGGCCCTGTACTCGTTCATCTTCCACTTGGTCTTGGCTCCGGCCGGCGCGCGGCCGCGGTAGAAGACCATGGTCTTCTTGGTCCCGACAGGGCGGCCGCAGGCGGAGTAGACCAACCCTGGCGTGCCCGCCGCCTTCCAGTAGCCCGACGGCGTCGTGCGGCTCGGCCGGCCGCCCCGCGCCTCCCGGTCCTGCCGCGCGCAGAAGTAGAACCACGGCTCCCCGTGCCCGGCGCACGCGCCCCGGTGCACCTCTGCACGCACACACACACACATTCAGTTAGCAATGGGATCTCAATAGCAGTTCACCGCTAATAGCAATGCATACCACATGTATAGTGTCTTTGGTTCTTGCCTGGGAGTTGCCAGGGGTCGAGGGAGCAGACGTCGACGACGGGGATGACGCGCTCGATGTCGCCGCGGCGGCGGCCGTCGAGCATGTGCCGGAGGTAGAAGCACACCAGCTCCTCCTCCGTAGGGTAGAAGCGGTACCCGGGAGGGAGCTCGCCCATGGCGCACGTCCAATCGACTTGATCACCCTTACGGAGCTCGAATGGAGCGGGAACGGCGTGTGTGGTGTACGTCTGTGGAGCTTGGGGTTATATAGGACGGCGCGAGGGAGAAATTTCTCATGCTGTTGTGGAAAAACGTAGCGACGGAGAGTGGGGAGTTTGCGGTGTGCGGTGAGGAGGAAGGACTCGGTCAGTCTCAGCCGTGTTCACATTTCGCTTCTCTTAGTTATACTTATACAGTACTTATATAAGAGTCTTAGTTAATGAGTGTTGATTCAGTTTTGGATTTAACTAACCTGGCTGCCTACACTGGTCACCATCTTCCATATGACGTGACTACGCGTGGGCGTGGCGTGGAAACAGTAACATGATGACATGCATATGTCGAATTTTTCGTTTTGAACCTTTGAAGAATTGTTCTACGGTATATTTTTCATGTAATTGTACAAAGTACTCTCTGTGTAAAGTATTTTTTTTGCATGATAATATGTGTTTCATTTATATGATAAAGATTAAAGTACAAGTTATGTAAGGACCGACATGACAAAACTGAAAAGATAGCAGAACATCTTTGAGTTTGACACCAATGTCCATCACCTGCCTCCGGCACCATCAAAGTAGCCACCAAAGAATAGAATGATGGATCACCTCCTCACCCGAGCTCGACGCGGCTCCATCGCTGATATGCAGCTTTGAGTACCTCCAAGGTGGCTCCCCAAAAGTTAAGCCAATGAATCAGATCGGGGCAACATCCTGAACATGTCATCGAACTCCAGATCTGACACCCCACCATGACTAAGATGTTGAAGGAGGAAACCACACCTGTCATCCATCAACCACAAACCCAGCACATGTTCTGTCTTTCAGATGTTGTCGATGCAGACCACAATCTACATCTGCTACTGGACTACCTCCCAAGCTCCGCGTCGACACTGGAGCAGACGCCGTCGCAACGGCGAAGTCCGAGGACACATGTCCACCACGAGGATGCCGCCGCCGTCACACCATCCTTACTTGAACAGACTAGATTCCAAATCCATCCCCAACGATACGACCAATCGTCTCATCGGAGTAGGATCTGAAGAAATTTTATTCAGCGTCGCCATCACCGCCGCTGAAGCTAAGACGATGAACAGCCTAAAAAACTAAGATACTTTGGCCTATAACTATCCACACACGTGGATCCCGCGACCCCTCTATGTGAAGTATTATAAGAGCGTTTAGATCACCATCTCTATGGTATATTTATGAACCTGAGAACAATTCGTTCTACGGTATATTTTTCATATAATTGTAAAAAGTATGTTACACGGGGGAGGAAAAAAGTGAGGAACAAAAAAGTTACAAAGGGGTAAAACAGAACTATCTAGAAAAAAAGTCCATTTTACTACCCTGAATAAAGTGGGTGGTTCACTTTACCCCCTGATCTATTTTTCCGC